GCATCTTTGCTAACCTCCTTGGTGGCAGCAGTGGCAGCCAGCTGAAAGCATCCTGTGGTGGGCCGGAGGAGGCGGGACGGGGAGGGAAGTGGGGAGCTGGCAGGGTGGAGGAGGTGGATGGGAGGGAGGGGAGGACAGAGGGAGGACGGAGGACTGGAGAGATTGTGTGCCTGGAGGCTCAGGGATCTTGGGGGAGGTAGGGATTTAAGAGGAGTCACGATAAAAGTAAGCTCGCTGAGTTGTCCAGGGAAAGGAGTGTGTTGACAGCCAGAAGCGTGTGTATTTTAAAAGGAGGCTGAAGTACAACAGATCCCAAGGAAGGAATCACTAATGTGAGGGAGGGTTTCAGGAGCTGAGGGAGACTGGAATTCTAGTACTTCTCTTGTCCTTGTTCTAAAATGCAAATGTAGGCTGGGTGCAGTGGCTCACGCCTGTAATACCAGCACTTTGGGAGGCCGAGGCGGGTGGATCACCTGAGGTCTGGAGTTCAAGACCAGCTTGGCCAACGTGGTGAAACCCCCTTCTCTACCAAAAATATAAAAAATAAGCCAGGCATGGTGGCACATGCATGTAATCCCAGCTACTTCGGAGGCTGAGGCAGGAGGATTGCTTGAATCTGAGAGATGGATGTTGCTGTGAGCTGAGATTGCACCACTGCACTCCAGCCTGGGTGACACAGCAAGACTCTCAGAAAAAAATATATACATAGCTAAATAAAATACAAACATGATCATATGACTTCCCAATTTAAAAGCCCTTAGCCAGGTGTGGTGGCTTACACCTCTAATCCCAGCCCTTTGGGAGGCCGAGGAGGGTGGATTGCCAAAGCTCAGGAGTTCAAGACCAGCCTGGGCCACATGGTGAAATCCCATCTCTACTAAAATATAAAAAATTAGCAAGGTGTAGCAGCATGCACCTGTAGTCCCAGCTACTCAGGAGGCTGAGACAGGAGAATTGCTAGAATCCAGGAGGCGGAGGTTGCTGTGAGCCCGGATTGCACTGTACTCCAGCCTAGGCAACGGAGCGAGACTGTCTCAAAAAAAAAAAAACCCTCAGAGGCTCCACCAGGTTTCCAGGGCAGTGTTCTAACTGCTCCCCCTCTCTGAGGCATCCTCTTATACCCCTCTCTAAGACACAAATCCTTGCTTTCAACTCCACCAAGGTGCACTGCCCATTTCAAGGATTTGAGAAGCTTCACCTGAGAACTTTCTTGCATTTGAAACTCTCTCCACACCCCTCCCCCAACTGTCTGCCTCCTGCTCTTCTCTTCCTTCCAAGTTCAGCTTCCTAAAGGGATGGGGAGAAAGATAGCAAAATGCTCACAGCTGTGAGGTCCACGTGGCAGATCTGTTCAGCTGAATAAGTTCTGCTTGCTTCTTGAGATTTTGCTGTCATTTCTAAAATTTTTGTTTGTTTGTATGTTTGTTTTTTAAGAGATGGGGTCCCAGCACATGTGGCGGCTCACACCTGCAATCCCAGCACTTTGGAAGGCTGAGGTAGGAGGATCACTGCCTCAGTGGTCAGAAGTTTGAGAGCAACCTGGCCAAGACGATGAGGTCATGAAGTCAGGAGTTCAAGACCAGCCTGGCCAACATGGTGAAACCCTGCCTCTACTAAAAATATGAAAATTAGCTGGGCATGGTGGCACGTGCCTGTAATCCCAGCTACTCGGGAAGCTGAGGCAGGAGAATTGCTTGAACCCAGGAGGCAAAGGTTGTAGTGAGCTGAGATCGTGCCACTGCTCTCCAACCTGGGCAACAAAGTGAGACTTCATCTCAAAAAAAAAAAAGACAAGAGGAATGGGGTTTCACACTGTCACCCAGGCTGGAGCGTGGTGGTGCAGTCATGGCTCACTGTAGCCTCAAACCCTTGAGCTCAAGTGACCCGCTCACCTCAGCTTCCAGAGTAGCTGGAACTGCAGGCACTGCCGCCTTGCCCAGCTAATTTTATTTTTATTTATTTATTGATTTCCAGAAATGGGGGCTTGCTATGCTGCCCAAGCTGGCCTTGAGTTCCTAAGCTCAAGTACTCCTCCCACCTCGGCCTCCCGAAGTGTTCGGCATTTCTAGAATTTCTAGTGAACGTGTTTCACTTTGTTACTAGGAGGTGGACTGGCCTTGACTTTCAAAACAGGCAAAAAGAATTCCAATTTAAAGAACAAGTAATGGCCCACCCCCCAGGGGTTGCCTTTCCAGGGACCCCTTAGACCTCCCATGCTGAGGTGCCCTCCACCACCCCTAGCTCCGGCAGCCCAACGTCCTTGCTTTCTCCCACCTCTTTCTGTCTCCATCAGTCAGTTCCCTTCCTGGTGGCAGGACCTGGCCTTCCTTAGTGAGACTTTGAATGGACACACACTCCCTGCTGAAGGAGGCAGCCTGGGGGTCTGTTTTCCTCACTTCACTTTGCCCACTCCAGTTCAGAGACAGAAGCAGATCCCACCCCCATCCTTTTGGCACCCTATTGCCACCTTCCACCCCATCCCGATGCCCCATTGAGGGTAGAGAGGCAAATATGAAAGTAGAGGCTGAGTCCCCTGATGACCAGGCCACATACTCCATTGTTGGAGTGACTCGATCTTCTTTAGACCTTTTTATGTCTGTTTGTTTTTGTTTTGAGACAGAGTCTCACTCTGTAGCCCAGCCTGGAGTGCAGGCATGATATTGGTTCACGGCAAACTCTAGCTCCCGGGTTCAAGCGATTCTCCTGCCTCAGCCTCCTGAGTAGCTGGGACTACAGGCGCGCACCACCATGCCCAGCTAATTTTTGTATTTTTAGTAGAAATGGGGTTTCGCCATGTTGGCCAGGTTTGTCTCGAACTCCTGACCTCAGGTGATCCGACTGCTCACCTTTCCAAAGTGCTGGGATTACAGGCGTGAGCCACAGAGCCCGGCCTGGACTTTCCAAACAGGCAAAAAGGAGGCCACTGCTGTAAAGACACCAACAGACCCTGTGAGGCTTATTCCCGATCCAAACCCTGGACATTCTGCCCTTGGTTTGTGTTCCCGAGTGGCCACCATGTGCCCTGGTTTGGGGGTCTAGAGGCATGAAAACGAGCCATGGACGGGCTGTAGAAATGGCCACATCTTGATGCATCTCTGTAATTTGGAGGCGCTGAAAGATGTGACAGGCTGTCCAGTGGCGCCATTCCAAAGCCGACGGTGCTAAAAGCTCGGAAATAGTCTCTGTTCAAAGGTTGCCTTCCAAGGCCTGCGACGTGCCCCTCCCTCACCAGCCACTCAGCCACACGCCTTCGCATTTGATGCCTGTGTCCTGCCCGCCCGCTCGTCTGTGGCATCCTGGGAGTCATGCTTAGGCACATGGCTGGGGCTCTGTGATTAAACTGCCAGCCCGGCTTCCAGCCTTTCAGATGGGCCTTTAAAAAGGCACAGCTCTAAGAGGTGCCAGAATTAAATTGGAGGGCAAATTCCATCCCTAAAATAAAGACCGTGGGAACTGCTGTCTTCTGTAGCTGGGCAATCAAAGTGTTTTCCTTTAAAATCGACCTAAGTCGGAACGGATACCTTTGATCAGCGTGTCTGGGCCCTCACGCCCTTGGCTGACAATGCTCACGATGCCATGTGGGGATTGAGTTCCATGCAGGGGGAGCCAGGACCAAAGCCCTGGCCCATGGCTTGTGATGAGAGGAGCCTCGGCAGCTGGAGCAGGGTGGGAGGGACCGGGGAGATGGCGGGTGGCAGATTCTGGGGGTGAGAGGAAGCCATGGAAGCATTTTCTTTTTTCTTTTTTTTTTTTTGAGACGGAGTTTCACTTTTGTTGCCCAGGCTGCAGTGCAGTGGCTCGACCTCGGCTCACGGCAACCTCTGTCTTCGGGGTTCAAGCAATTCTCCTGCCTCAGCCTCCTGAATACCTGGGATCACAGGCACGTGCCTGCACACCCATTTAATTTTTGTATTTTTAGTAGAGACAGGGTTTCATCATGTTAGCCAGGCTGGTCTGCAACTCCTGATCTCAGGTGATCCACCTGCCTCAGCCTCCCACAGTGCTGGGATTAGAGGCATGAGCCACCTCACCCTGTCACAGGGCCAGTCTGTAGAGGGCTTGTGGGGTCACTTCTGTTTGGGGAGCCGCAGGCACTGCTGGAGCTGAGGGAACAGTCCCCCAGTGCTTAGGGCCATTTCCGACTAGCATTGTCCCCAGGCCGCTGCATGTTGCTGGCCCTGTCTACCTATTACATGACCCAAATTTAAGGAAACAGCCTCTGAACTTCTGACTCCCTTTAAAGAAGTATATTTCTTTCCAGGCAGGGCATGGTGGCTCAAGCCTATAATCCCAGCACTTTGGGAGGCCAAAGTGGGTGGATCACAAGGTCAGCTGTTTGAGACAAGCCTATCCTGGCCCAACTGTATGAATTGTATGAATTGTTTTTTCAGGGTTTCTCTCTGTCACCCAGGCTGGAGTGCAGTGGCATGATCACAGCTCAATGCAGCCTCGAATTCCCAGGCTCAGGTGATCTTTGAGTAGCTAGGACTGCAGGCATGCCATCACACCTGGCTAATTTATTTATTTATTTAGTAGAGACGGGGTCTCGCTATATTGCCTTGGCTGGTCTTAAAGCCCTGGCTCAAGAGATCCTCCCACCTCAGCCTCCCAAATTGCTGAGATTCCAGGTGTGACCACCACATCCAGTCTGAGGTTTTAAAATTGTTGTATAGTTTAGTATAGTATAATACAATGGTTAACAGTGGGGTGGCAGGCACAGCGACTCATGCCTGTAATCCCAGCACTTTGGGAGGCTGAGATGACTGGATCACCTGAGGTCGGGAGTTCGAGACCATCCTGACCAACTTGGAGAAACCCCGTCTGTACAAATACAAATACAAAATTAGCTGGGCATGGTGGTGCATGCCTGTAATCCCATCTATTCGGGAGGCTGAGGCAGGAGAATCGTTTGAACCCGGGAGGTGGAGGTTGTGGGGAGCCTAGACCACGCCACTGTACTCTAGCCTGGCCAACGAGAGTGAAACTCCGTCTCAAAAAAAAAAGAGAGAGGGAGTGGGGTTACAGACTCAGAGGGACCCAGCTTAAAATCCCATGTCTACCACCACTGTTTGGGCAAACGTCTTCCCTCCTCTGAGACTCAGTTTTGTTATCTGCAAAAGGCGACACCATTCCCAGGGGACATTGGCTCTTCTGATCACATGGCATAACAGCAATGCCTGAGAGGCTGTGCTGTGCAGGAAGCCAGACAGCCAGGAGTGGCTCAGGAAGGAAGCGAGCAAGTCCTGGAGACAGACGGGGGACCCCCAAAGCCCAGGAGAGGAAGGAGTGGGTAAGACGTCCCCACAGCTGGGATAGCACAGGCGACGGGGGACCCCAAAGCCCAGGAGAGGAAGGAGTGGGTAAGACATCCCCGCAGCTGGGATAGCACAGGCAACGGCGCCGGATCGTGGCAGCCCGACATCTACGCGGGAGCAGGCGAGTGAGGGCCAGAGAGCAGGGCTGTTCAGGGCCTGTGAGGCAGGAACTGGATCCTCCAGGCCAGGGACTTTCCATTTTTTTAGCAGTGGCCCAAAGTTAAGAGATGCATGTTTTAGCGTGACCCTGTCTGAACCCAATTGTATGAATATAACTGAAAGCAGAAGGTCGCAAACAGTGCCCTTACTACGCATGAAATGCTTCGTGTTCTGTTTTTTCTAATTGCTTGTCTTGACCCTGTACACTGATTGCAGACTCCTTCCTGGGTCTCTCCAGCAGGGAGCCTCTGCCGGTTCAGGCAGGGCAGGAGCGGGATGAGTCTGTGGATCACTAGGGGCTCAGAGCCACAGAGGCAGCCCCGGTTGGGTGGGAGAGGGGGCCGGATGGGAGCTGTTGAGGTGGAGGGTGGGGGGGCATGTACCGGCAGCAGGCAGGTCTGATCCTGAACATCAGTGAGCCACAGGAAAGCTGCCAGGTGGGCACACAAACACGTGGGGGCACATCCCACCAGGGACTCACTCAGCATGGGGTCCCTGTGCCAGGGGTGGGAGGATAGTAACTCCGCCCACCTCTCAAACCCCAAGTTCAGGCAGCCACAGATTCATAAGAAGGACTGGAAAAGGAAGGACTCAGGCACCCTCAGGCGGTTGGCAAAGTCTTTTCCAACAAGGGTGGGAGAAGAGGAGCTGGAAGCTATGGGCAGAGGGCTGTTCATACCCAGAGCCCTCAAATGCCACACTACAGAGGGGACTTCAGCTGTGCCAGGCCAGCAGCCGGCACAGGGATGGTGCCCCAGCCTGGGTCAGGGACAGGCCCCTGGGGGTCCTGCTGCGCCTGGACCATCAGGGCCTGTGTCCCCTGTGCCGAGGGCGTATCATTTAACCAGAGCTTTCCCAAACCCCCAAATTTGCCTCTTTTTTTTTTTTTGAAACGGAGATAGCTCTTGTTGCCCAGGCTGGAGTACAGCGGCTCACTGCAACCTCCGCCTCCTGGGTTCAAGCTATTCTCCTGCCTCACCTTCCCAAGTATCTGAGACTATAGGCTTGTGCCACTACACCCGGCTAATTTTTTGTATTTTTAGTAGAGATGGGGTTTCACCCTGTTGGCTAGGCTGGTCTTGAACTCCTGACCTCATGTGATCTGCTCACATGTGTTGAGGTTACAGGCTTGAGCCACCACACCCAGCTGGCATTTGCCTTTGAAAATCCTCAAGGAGGACTCCCTGCCTCATTCTCGTCCCCTGGAGAAAGGCAGCCTGGCCCTTGGCAAGGAGCTGGGTTCCAGGTCCAGTGAATCCGGCCACAGTCCCTGAAGGTTGGCATTGTTGCTCTCCTTGTGTTGCGGGGAGACACTGAGGTCAGAGAAGTTAAGCCGCCTGCCCAAGGTTGCACAGCCTTGAAGTGGCAGAGCCAGGAGCTGAATCCAGGCCTGTTGCCTCCAGAACATGGGCTTTCCCCAGACACCCGTGCTCATCGCCCCTGTTTCCGGCCAGGCCCAAGGCTTCCCCACAGTGTGGGAGAAACCTCCCTGGAGCTGCAGGGAAGTGAGGGATGGGGGCAGTGTGCCGCCCCAAAACACAGTCTCCAGTATAGTGCTACAGCAGCGTGGGCAGACTGAGCTGGGATGCACGGTGCTGCCCAGAGGAGATGTCTGTGCTTGCAGCTGTGTGGGGGTGGGGAGGCACAGGGGAGGAGCTGAAGGCTCAGAACAAATAGCCAAGCCCTGGGGCGGGGCCCTCCCAGACACCTGCGGCAACCCTGCCTCTGGTGGCCCTGCTGCCCTTCTGCTCCACCCCTGCCCCCCCATGGTCCTCACCCGGGTGCCCTCTCCCCTCTCGCTGCACCATCCCGTCCACATTCACCAGGCTCAAGAGGCTCCTATCCAGAAAACTCCCCAGGAGCCAAACTCTCCCTGCCCCTGCAGTCTTCCCTCCCAGCAGGGCAGGCCGGGGAGTTCATGTCCTCACCCGCCCTTCCTCACCCTGTGCCCCAACTCTGCCCTCCCCAAGCCCCAGGGGAGCTCCTTGCAGCCACCTCCAGGCCCCTGCTCTCCACCGGCAGGCAAATGGAGAATCCTCCTAAGTTCTCTAAAAGGTTGGGATCCAATGCATTCCCTGCACAGAAAACACCTGGGGCTCCTTGAGACACTTCCTCCCTGTGCCCCAGGGCCAGTCCCAGCTCCACCTGCCCCAGGTCCCTGGGACCTGGAGAATGACCAGAAAAGCAGCGGGAGCAGGTCCTGGGCCCTCTAGACGCCTTGGTGTTGGAGGATTTCTCCCGGCAAAACCTAGTTCCTCCAAGTCAAAGTCCTCTGGTCACCGAAAGTCACACACGAGTCCCAGTTCTTCGCATCTCTAACCCTGTGTAACAGACAAAACTTCAAACTCTGATGCTGAAGTGGTTCTCCATGTCCCCTGGGGTCCTGTGTGAGGGGGAGGGGCGAGGTCCCTCTTCTCTTTCCCGCCCAGACCCGTCCTTGTCTGTCCCCACTGATCAAGCTGGTGGAGGCACGTGGGAGGCTGGCCCTGGGTTCCGGGTGCTTGTAGGGTTGGCCTCGAGTCCCGTGGGGCACGTTTGTGGCCTGTTCAGGACCCCCACGGAAGTGCTGCAAACAACAGCTGAAAAGCATCTGTGGGCTTGGAAATGGCCATGAAACCTATCTTCAGCACTGAGCTGTCATGGGGAACCGCCTCTAGTCAGCAGCCAGCTAGGGCCTGGACCTCTACGGCCTGCACCGCTGAAGGGGCCTCTGGGAGGCACGGGGCCAGGAGATGGGCTGGGAGCTGGGCAGTTGCAGGGGTCCAGCTCAGGGGTACTGACGCCCAGTGAAAGGAAGGCAGGGGAGGCAGTGAGCTACATCCGAAGGCCAGAACCTGGAGGCCTTGGCAGCAGCTGCAGGCTTCCTCTCCTCTCCCTGGGTTTTTTGGCCTGATGTCTCCAGCCTGGCTGTTGTTACGGATGGAGCTGGTCAGAGACTGCTTCCTCTCTTCACTTTTTAGAGACAGCAGTTTCATCAGAGGTCTGAGGTTCTTGCTTCGAAACCTCTCCTCGCTGTGGCAGACCTGAGCCAGAGCTGAACGTTTCATGATCCTAACGCTCTGACCTTAAAATAACAAATCCCAAAAGAATACGGAACCATGGCCATCTGTTTTTATAGATTTCCCTGGAATTATAAAGATTGGCGTAATTGCGATAGCAGAGTTCATCGTTTTCTAGAAGGATACTTCGGACAGAGAGAATTTTTAAAGACAATTGGTCTGAAGTCTTCCTGCCCAGGAGAAACAGGAAGGTTTCATGGTGCTGACTGTGTAACTGCCCTCCCCCTGGAGTGGCCTCTTAGCTACACTGTGAGGAGGAGCAGGAGGCCCCGGTGAGGAGATGGAGGTCACAGGTCGAGGGGCCCACAAGGTAGGGGCACAGAGGGGGAAGTGGCCTGTGAGTGTTGTGTGGGGCTGCAGGGTGGTGTCGGCGGCGATGTCCTTTGTGGTTCACCCCACCCCTCTTGTCTTGTACAATCTTTTTTTTTGAGATGGGGTCTTGCTCTTGTCGCCCAGGCTGGAGTGCAATGGCACAATCTGGGCTCACTGCAACCTGTGCCTCCCAGGTTCAAACATTCTCCTGCCTCAGCTTCCCAAGTAGCTGGAATTACAGGCTCCCACCACCATGCCTGGCTAATTTTTGTATTTTTAGTAGAGATGGGGTTTCACCATGTTTGGCCAGGCTGGTCTTGAACTCCTGACCTCAGGTTATCAGCCCACCTGTGCCTCCCAAAGTGCTGGGATTACAGGCATGAAACACTGCCCAGCCTGGGGGTGTCTCTTTAGTGGCTCAATGGGAAGCTCAAAATATCAGCGTGGCCAAAGTTTTGAGGGATTAACTGAAGCGCGGGGCCGACTCCGTGTCTGTCCCGCATCTTCCAGAACTGGCCTCCCTTTGGGACCCCCTTCCCAGAGCTCTGGCTCAGAGCTGAACTGAAGAGACCTGGGAAGTCAGCCTGGCCTCACTCCAGGCCCGCACCACAGGCAGCGCCCGCGCCTCACTTTCCCCAACAAAATAAATCTTGCGGCTCCTCTGAGCATCTCAAATGCACTATCTTCTCCCAAGTAACTAACCGGCCTGCATGTTCCTGGCTGCTGGCTGCCAACCTCAATTTAGAACTGTCTGCTGCTCAGCTGCTAGAGAAGGCGGGGCCTGGAGCGACTGGGAGCGTTGAAGCTGAGGGGCCTGAGCGGCTGAAGTCTGGGGCAGGGGGTGGCTGCTGACCCCAGCCCAGGATCCAAACAGCATCCCAGAGGCCTGCAGCAGGGGTTAGAGGCCCCCCAGGGAGGGCTGCTGCTTTGCGAATTTTCAAACTGTTTCCTGAAGTGCCTCTGATGATTGGGGGGGAGGGGTGGCTCCTGCAAAACTGGCCTTGTCACCGTCCGTTGACATCATGATCACAGCCGAAATGGCCCCACGTGCAGCACGTCTGCATTGTTGGAAAAACCACTCTCAGGATGTTGCCTGTTATACTAGATAAAAACCTAACTGGCTGGGCGCGGTGGCTCATGTCTGTAATCGCAGCACTTTGGGAGGCTGAGGCGGGCGGATCACCTGAGGTCAGGAGTTCGAGACCAGCCTGACCAACATGGAGAAACCCCATCCCTACTAAAAATACAGAATTAGCCGTGTGTGATGGTGCATGCCTGTAATCCCAGCTACTTGGGAGGGGAGGTTGCAGTGAGCCCAGGTGAGCCGAGATGGCGCCACTGAACTCCAGCCTGGGCAACAAGAGTGAAACTCCGTCTCAAAAAAAAAACCAAAAACCAAAAACCTGACACATCCTTTCCGAGTCCAGGAGAGGTTTGTCTGCTGCCACCTGTGCGCCTTCTTCCTCTGGCGCGGGAGACCTGTGGCTAGACCTGCCTCTCTGTCTACCACCAGGAAACGCTTGCGTTTCTTTCTTTCGTTTTCTTGCTTCCTTCGTTATTTCTCATCCATCACCAGCTTTCACTCTTCTCAGGCCTGGGCGTTTATTTCACGTGGCCTCTTGGACTTCGGGAAGGAGAGGGGTTAGGAGAGCAGGCTCTGGTGTCTCCCAGCCCTGAATGGGGTTGTAGCTCCACCCTCTACCTGCTGAGGGATCAGGAGCTAGGTGCTTCAGCTCCCTGCCCCTCAGACTCTTCCCCTTTGTAAAACAGGGGCTCTCGTGTTGCCTAGGGGTATATTAGGAGAGGCAGAGCGGTGTGTGTAATGTGCCTGGCACAAGTCCGACGCACAGCAAGTGCAGGAGAGGCAGGGGCTGCAGCTGCAGAGGTAGGGGCACAGGAGGCATGAAACTTGTCTTTTTTTTTTGAGATGGAGCTCGATCTTGTCACCTAGGCTGGAGTGAAGTGGCATGATCTCAGCTCACTGCAACCTCCACTTCCCAGGTTCCAGCGATTCTCCTGCCTCAGCCTCCCGAGTAGCTGGGACTACAGGCGCCTGCCACCATGCCTGGCTAATTTTTGTATTAGTAGAGACGAGGGTTTCACCATGTTGGCCAGGCTGGTCTCAAACTCCTGACCTCAGGTAATTTGCTTGTCTCAGCCTCCCGAAGTGCTGGGATTACAGGCGTGAGCCACGGTGCCTGCCCACGAGCCTTGTTTTAACCTGCAAGTGGGTGGGACTGAGGCAGCCTCAAGTGACCTGTCACTCTCTCCCTTTGCTTCCCCTCCAGGAGGACAGTCAGTGACCCACAGCAGCCTGCCCATCGTGGCCTCCCTGGCCAACTCACCTGTCTCCTTCAGCTGCAGGATCAGCTACCCGTACACCCCCCAATTCAAGGCTTTCACAGTCAGCTACTTTCATGAAGATCTCCATGGGCAGAGGAGCCCTGAGAAGCCAACCGACTGCCACCCTGGATCGGGCATAGAGAACCAGACCTACACCCTGAACTGCCTGGTCACCCTTGTGCCGCCGGATGCATCAGCCACCGGCACCTACTACTGCTCTGTCCACTGGCCACACACCATGGCAAGAGGCAATGGCACCTTCATCCTGGTCAGAGGTGAGGCTTCCTCTGTGGCTCTTCCGGGGGCAAAGGACCCAGAGATTTCAACCAGCAGTTTGGGACTCCGGATCAGAAATAGAGAATGGGGCCAAGTGCGGTGGCTCATGCCTGTAATCCCAGCACTTTGGGAGGCCAAGGCGGGTGGATCACCTGAGGTCAGGAGTTTGAGACCAGCCTGGCCAGTGTGGTGAAACCCCGTCTCTACTAAAAATACAAAAATTAGCCGGGTGTGGTGGTGGGTGCCTATAGTCCAAACTACTTGGAAGGCTAAGCCATGAGAATCGATTGAACCCAGGATTTGGAAGTTGCAGTGAGCCTAGATCATACCATTGCACTCCAGCCTGGGCAACAAGAGCAAAACTCTGTCTCAAAAAAAAAAAGGAAAGCCGGGCACGGTGGCTCACGTCTGTAGTACCAGCACTTTGGGAGGCCAAGGAGGGAGGATCACCTGAGGTCAGGAGTTCAAGACCAGCTTGACCTACATGGAGAAACCTTGTCTCGGCTAAAAATACAAAAAAAATTAGCCAGCATGGTGGTGCATGCCTGTAATCCCAACTACCCAGAAGGCTGAGGCAGGAGAATTGATTGAACTGGGAGGCAGAGGTTGCCATGAGCCAAGATCATGCCATTGCACTCCAGCCTGGGCAACAAAAGCGAAACTCCATCTCAAAAAAAAAAAAAAAAAAAAAAAGGCAGTGGCTCAAGCCTGTAATCCTAGCATTTTGGGAGGCTGAAGTGGGTGGATCACCTGAGATCAGGAGTTCAAGACCAGCCTGGCCATTGTGGAGAAACCCCCATCTTAAAAAAAAAAAACGGAAATAGAGAATGGTTTGCCTTCTCTGCCAGTGTTGACAAAGCAGGACCCAGCCTTTTCAGAGGGCCCCGGCCTGCAGCTGTGCCAGGGCTCTACCTGCGTATGGAAAGGGAAGGCGTGGCTTGCAGATCGGCCCCTAGCTGCCTCTGGAAGGTGACCTGAGAGAGCTCACTCGGGCCCTTGGTCTCAGTGTGCACGGGCATCACGGCGTGGTGGACTTCTGTAGAACTAGCCAGGTATATGTATGTTCTTGTGGGGGCCTCGTGTATGTGAGCACTTGGCTCATGTATAATATACCTTTAAAGGTACAGGTTTTTAGTTTTTATCACGTTCTCTTTTATATTTTTATTTATGTATTTTTTTTTTCTGAATCCAAGGTAAGATATTTTTATTTATTTATTTTTTGAGACAGAGTCTCACTCTATCACTAGGCTGGAGTGCAGTGGTGCTATCCTGGCTCACTGCAACCTCCGTTTTCCAGTTACAAGCAACTCTCCTGCCTCAGCCTCCCAAGTAGCTGGGACAACAGGCACGCACCACCACGACTGGCTAATTTTTTGTATTTTTAGTAGAGACAGGGTTTCACCATGTTGGCCAGGATGGTCTTGATCTCTTGACCTTGTGATCCACATGCCTCGGCCTCCCAAAGTGCTGGGATTACAGGTGTGAGGCACCACGCCTGGCCATCTTTTTTTTTTTTTTTTCTGACACGAAGTCTCACTGCGTCACCAAGGCTAGAGTGCAGTGTCGCGATCTCTGCTCACTGCTGCAACCTCCACCTCCCGGGTTCAAGCATTTCTCCTGCCTCAGCCTCCCAAATAGCTGGAATACAGGCACACACCATCATGCCTGACTAATTTTTGTATTTTTAGTAAAGATGGGGTTTCACATGTTGGCCAGGCTGGTCTCAAACTCCTGACCTCAATGATCCGCCTGCCTTGGCCTCCCAAAGTGCTGGGATTACAGGTGTGAGTCACCACAACCAGCTAGTTTTCATCACATTCTGAAAGGAGTGATGACCCCAAAAGTTATGAGGGAGCCCCTCACTGAAGCCCTGATTCTCTGACCTACCTCTGCGATCCCCTGGAAGGAGCTGGGGGCTTCCAAATCCCATAGGCCTGGGTTTGCACTCCTGTCCCGCTGCATGCCTGATGTGAGATTGGGCCTGGTCTTCATGGCAGTCCTCTGCCTTCCAAGGACTTGGATGAGGATGAGGGAGATGGTGCCCATAGGGGCTGGTGCCTGACTATAGGTGGTGCTGGGGAAATCACCATGTACCTGGCACATGGTTGGCACCCCATGCGTTTTTGCCAGCCAGATGGATGGATGGATGGGGTAAAGGGGAAGGAGGAATGGATGACAGCAGGAGGGACAGGAGGATGGCACAGCGGGAGGGCTGGGCCTCACCTAGCCCAGGTGCAGCGTCCCTCCCCGTCTGTCCCGATATAAACCCACCTCCTTCAGCCCTAGCCACATCCACCCCATTATCACCACCTCACACAGGGAGAAGAAGAGACCCGGAGAGGGGAGACAACGGGCTCACAGCCCTGCAGGCAGCCCTCAGGGGAGCCAGGTCACACTGGGGGAGCAAATGAGGTGGTCCCTGTCCTTACAGAGAATCAAGGCAGTGAACATAAAAAGGACCAAGGGGAGGCCAGGCTCAGTGACTCACACCCGTAATCCCAGCACTCTGGGAGGCTGAGGCAGTTGGATCATCTGAGGTTGGGAGTTCGAGACCAGCCTGACCAACATGGAGAAACCCCACCTCTACTAAAAATACAAAAATTAGCCCAGAGTGGTGGCACATGCCTGTAATCCCAACTACTCAGGAGGCTGAGGCAGGAGAATCACTTGAACCTGGGAGGCAGAGGTTGCAGTGAGCCGAGATCCTGCTTTTAGCCTGAGCAATGAGAGTGAAACTCCATCTCAAAAAAAGAAAGGCAAAAAGACAAAGAGAGAGAGAGAGAGGGAGGGAGAAAGAGAGAGAAAAAAAAAGAAAAGGAAAAGAAAAAAGGACCCAGGGGGACAATGAAGGCCCGAGGCCTGGTTCCCGGGGGCCCTAGTGGGGTGTGGAGTGCGTCAGCAGGTGAGCATCGAAAACAGGTCCTGGGTGAGGGAGAACATCAGGTGGGTGTGCCCCGCCTTCTCCTGGGTCACTGACCCCTCTGCTCCCCCGCCCTTCCTCCTAGACACAGGGTACCGAGAGCCCCCGCGGAGCCCCCAGAAGCTCCTGCTGTTTGGCTTCACCGGCCTCCTGAGCGTCCTGAGTGTTGTGGGCACAGCCCTGCTGCTCTGGAAGAAGGTAGGCATGAACACTCACAGCCACGCAGCCCTCCACCCACACACCACGGGCTGGGGCGCCTCCGGGGAGCAGAGAAGCTGCTGTGTCCTTGCCTGGTGAGGGCACATCCACATCTGTAACAGGTGGCCCTGGTGGCCTCTTGTACTGGGACTGAGGGCACCTCTCCTGTGCCCACTCTCTGCGCTGCCGTGGGGCCCCTTTTGATCCCGCTGAGAACCTGAGAGGGCCTGCAGGAACCTCCTGCCTACCACTCCAGCTCCGAAGATTAGGCAATCCCTGCCCGGGTTTTTTGATCCCAGGAGGCTGGAAGGGAAGAAGGGGCTACCAGCCACTGGCACAGGTGCCCTCCCACACACCCTTCCACACACCCTCCACCATAGCTCCACAGGGAGGACTTGAAGTAAGGCATTTGTTTGCGCACCCGACTGCCGTGGGGTGTCCCAATAGAAGGTTATCAGCATACGGGGGCAGCATGCAAGCAAAAAGCTTCTGGGGGGCGGTCATGGGCTGATGCCTCCCCTAGGATGATGAGAGTTTTTGACCCCCTGGGAAGCTGGGTCCAGGTGTATTGAGTGGTTACACCTGCTTCTGGGTTTCTGCCATTGAAATGCAAATAGTTTTTGACCCTCTGAGGCCAGTCCAATGCTAAGGAGGTATTCTTTAAGTCCAATTAAGTGAATCAGCTATTCTGCTGGCAATAATCCCAACTGTGTGTATGAGTTGGGTGCAAAGCCAAGCAAGCCCTGCACGGGCCTGGGTGATAATATCAGTCTTCGCTTCTGGCTAGGAAGTCTCTGCCCTCCTTCCCAAGGGATAGTGAGAGCCTGGATGACCCCTGCCTGAGGCATTTTTAGCTGCAGGGAGTTTCCTTTTTGAATGGGATAGTGGCCCTCTATTTGCACAACAGGTTTTGCTGGAGAAGGGGGCAGAGGCAGTCCATTAAGTACAAGAAAATCTGTCCTCTTAGCACCTTAATAGCGCTAACAATATTGGTTCTGTTTCTTTTTCCCATGGGGGGTTACAGGGTTGTCGTCTGGACTGTGGGCTCTTTGGGGGCATATGAGTCCGTCCCCCCTCTCTTTTAGTCCAGTGGCCCTTCCATTAGATTGAACAGAGCTCCTTCACTTTTTATCTGGATCCTCGTGCTTAGGATCACCCTGTTCTCCCATTAACTGTGGGCATTTTTTTCCCAATGCCCTATTTCTTGACAAAATGCACACTGATCGCATTGCAGGCACAGGCGGGCGGACTGTGGGGCTTTCCAGGAACCCCCCTTTTTCCATGCTCTTGGGGGCGTTCCTCTCATAGCAGCAGCTATCAAGTCAGCCTTCCGTTGAGCCTGACGTTCCCTTTCCCTATGATTTTCCCTCTGGCTTACCGCCTCTTGGTTTACAAACGCCTGGTTAGCTACTTCTAATAACTGAAGTATTCATGCATGCAAATCCTGTCTGTTTCTGCCACTGAATTTGCCTGGACTTGGGAGTCCACGTTTCTCGGCAGCGAGGGGGATGGTGGTTTCTAACAGCGTATCCCTTGGCTACTAAAACAGTCACTGCCTGCTCTCTTAGCCACTTCGAAGGGTTTAACACTAACTGCAATCACGAGTCTATGTATGGAAATTGATCAAGGTGTTCTAGCTCGCCGTTTATAACCTCATGCCTTACTCTGGAGACAAGGGGCTGTCTAGGGTCCCCTGTGAGGGCCAACCTACCCTCAATGCTGGCCAATCTTCCCTGCATAAAACCCTTAATTTCTCTGGTGTCATAGTTACTTTATAATTCCCACTAAATCCCTTCTTGAAATTTTTCGGCATGGTTTCTAAAGGGGTGGAATGGCTATGGGAGTAAGCCATGTTAACAATTCGAAGAAACAATTTCCACACTTAGGAAAGTGTTAGCTCACTCACAGCAGTTCCCACCTAGCAAGAGGCAGCATGGAGCACTTTCCCATTTACATTCACTTCAATCCTTTTACAACGCCCAGAGGCTTCTTCACTCAGCCTTATGTGGCTGTCTCTAATTTTTACAAATTGTTCGACGACACAGACACACAACCACACACACACACAGACACACACACACATCCGATTGCTCTCCTTCCAATTCAAAAATATAAGCAAAAGCTTCCAAGGTTACAGAGAGCTACCTTCCAATGTGCCAATCTGGCACCCGTGGGTGATCAGGCCATGCTTCCACCAAACGGGGTGGGCTACTTTCCCAGGGTCAATCTTACCAAATTCAGTTGTCCAGACTTCCCCAAATGCTCGTTCCTCCTTGGTGTTCAGCCACTGAGTGGATCGACACTGCAGGGCCTCCCTGCTCCACTCTGGCAAGGCTTTTCCACCAGGCAAATACCTGCCCCGGAGCGCTCTCAGGATGCGTCACCCCAGCGAGCAGGAGTCCCCCGCACGGATGCTCCACAGGGCTAGGCAAACCACCTAAGAGACTTTTTCCTGCCGTCTGCTATCCGAGACTCGCTTCCCGGCCAACACACCAAAAATGTAGCAGGAGGGGCCACGGGAAATGGACCTCTCGGACACTGAATACAGGAGGAAGGAGTTTATTCAGCCGGGAGCAAGGTGGCATAGTTGCCTAACAGCCAAGCTCCCGCATAGGGAGGTTTCTTCCCATTTCACAGCTCTGGAAGGTGACGCTCAGAGGTTGCAATTTGCCCAGGGTCAATAGTAAGTGTGAGGCAGAGTCGGGGCTGGAGTACAGGATGGGGTAGCTGGGTCCGGCTCCTTACCTGGACAGCTCCTGCTCACACTGCAGGTGGCCCCTGCCTGGGGAGGGAGTTTCTCTGCTGGCCCCCCATGCTCATTGTCACCCAGCCCTATGGATTTCTGTTCAATGCAGGCCTGCCCTTCCTATCTGGCAGCAAGTGCCAGGAGGCCAGAGGCTGAGGCAGTCTTGTCTGGGGGCTCTGTGCCCAGCACATGAGGGTGCTCAGGCAGCGTGCTGAGGGAAAGGATGCAGTACCTGCTGGGTTTTCTCAGGCCCAGGGGTGCAAAGATGACAGGTCAGGGCTCCTTAGAAGCTGCTGTTAGCAACTCAGGCTACTGCTCCGCCCTCCAGGGACCTTTGGGGCCAACCCTGAGGGCTGCTGAGTCAGCAACGGCCCTGGGTGTGAGGGGAGGGCAATGACACCATCACCGGGGTCTCCCTGGGTCAAAGAAGGCTCAGCCCCTGCATCCAAAGGCCGAGACCCTACCCACACCCAGAGAAGAGCTCTCTTCCATGGGAATTCATGTGCTCATTCATTTAGCAAACACTCAACACCTCCAATATTCCAGGCCCTGTTCTAGGCACTTGGACGTAGCAATGACCAAACTGGAATCCTGAAATCTCTGTTTCTGAGGCCGGGCACGGTGGCTCAAGCTTGTAATCCCAGCCCTTTGGGAGGCTGAGGCGGGCGGATCACTCGAGGTCAAGAGTTCGAGACCAGCCTGGCCAACATGGCAAAACCCCGTCTCTACTAAAAATACAAAAATTAGCTGAGCACGTCAGCAGGTGCGTGTAGTCCTAGCTACTCAGGAGGCTGAGGTGGGAGAATCGCTTGAACCTGGGAGGCAGAGGTTGCGATGAGCTGGAATCATGCCACTGCACTCCAGCCTGGGCGATAGAACAAGACTCCATCTCAAAAAATAAAAAGAGGCTGGGTGCGATGGCTTACGCCTGTAATCCAACTTTGGGAGGTTGAGGTGGGCAGATCGCTTGAGGCCAGGAGTTCAAGACTAGCCTGACCAACATAGCAAAACCCCACCTCTACTAAAAATACAAAAGTTAGCTGGGCATGATGATGTGCACGTGTCCTCCCAGCTACTCGGGAGGCTGAGGCAGGAGAATTGCTTGAACCCAGCAGGCAGAGGTTGCAGTGAGCAGAGATCGAACCACTGCACTCCAGCCCCTGGGTGACAAAGTGAGACTCCATCTAAGAAAAAAAAGAAACTTTCTTCTGATTGTGGTTTTGAATTAAGGAAAAAGAAAGTAAGAAAAGAAAAGAAAATCTGTTTTTATTAAATTGATATTCCCGCTGAGGTGAGACAATGAACCACCCAGTGAATAGGTCATTTAACTCAGATGGGATGTGTTGGGGGAACTCAGCCTGGGAACGAAGAAGCACCTGGAATGAAGGAAGGCAGGTGCACACCTGGGCCGGGCGTGTTCGGCGGGAGAACAGTGGGAGCAGGTCCTCTGGGGCAGGAGCGGGCATGGGGTGTCCCAGGAGCTGCAGCGGGGCTGAGGTGGCTGGTGTAGTAGGGGGATAGGAGGTGGAAGGAGGTCCGGCCAGGTAGGGGTATTGAAAGGACTTCAGCCCTTACTCTGTGTGAGACAAGGGTAGGATCAGACCCAGATTCTTACAGACCCTCTGGCTGGGTGAGGGACACCCAGTGAGGAGCTACTGCAAAGTCCAGGCAGAGGAGACAGGAGCTGGACCAGGATGGCCTCGGGGAAGTGGTGAGTGAAGTGGGTAAAAGGCTGAGTGGACCCAAAGGGACTCGGCAAAGAGGTTTGCTCTGGTCCCTCCGGGGTGGGCCTGAGCCTGGGGGTGTCTGGATCTGGGCCTGGCGGGCAGGTGTCAGGTGAGCTGTGGACTGGAAGAGCGGGCAAGGAAGCTGAAGGTCACAGCTTGCCTGAGCCACCGCAAGTGGCAGGCCTGGGACTAGAGTGCACGCTTTAGTTTCCCATCCTTGTCTTTAGGCTGAAGATGTCATTGCTTTTCCCAAGAAGGCTCTGAGGTGCTAAAAGAGCATGAACTTGGCCCTGTTCACCCCGGGGAGCGTCAGGGGCTGCATGTCCTGCCTTCTGTGAGCTGGCGTCTAGGTCAGGGCCTCAGCTGCGATGCTGGCTCCCTCCTTCCTGTGGGGCTGACCCTGGCATGACTGGTCCTACTTTGACCTTGCCCTGTTGATGGGCTTCAGGGTGAAGTGAGCCGCAGGCCCTGGGTGCCACTGTGAAGTCCAGGAGGGCTCTGGGCTCGGCTTTGACTCCAGCCCAGCC